GATTAAAGGTGTGCACCACCACCATCTGGCTGTAATTCTCACTTTTAAACAGTGGCTCTCAGGCCTGACTGTACATTGGAATCATTTGGGGGAACATTAAAAAAAAATCCAGCCATTATATCTGGCACTCAAAGCCTTTCATCTGAATTTGTAAAGCACAATGTGATTCAGATTCAGGTCAGTGTGGGGAAATCACTATCTTTAGACTCTTGTTAGTTCTTTAAGAAAGGGTCCAATCTGAGAAATATGGGCTTTTTTTTTTATATTCCCCTTGTTGTTCTAGAATGTGACAAAGTTCACCATACAGCAAACGGATTTCTTTCATCTCTCACTGAGAGTGCACAGAATGCCAGCGTGAGGCCTAACGGAGCTGCTACCATAGACACTCAGCCCCAAGCGCACGGGAAAACACTGGAGACCTTGACCACCGGGAGAACTTCTTTACCACCAGTTTTCCTGAGTGTGAAAAGTGGAGTTCCTCCTTCAACTTTGCCCCCATCAGGTACCAAAAGAGCTTCAATGATGCCGTGCGCTGGTGACGGAACCTGCACAGAAGTCTGAAAGGCAGAGATGGAGATGGAGTCTACATTTGTATCTGCTTTAGTTAACTGTGCCATCAACAGGATGAGTCATGAGAGTTGCAACACGTTACATCTGATGTTACATCTCTGCACACAGAAACACCTAAGGCCACATTTTCAGAGTCAGAATGACAAGTCATCGCTACTGTCAAGATTCACCCTTCTAGCCTTTCTTAGAAACATTGAAACAAACTTTAGTTACCATGTTTCCAAGTGATACTAGGAAAAACAGGGAAAGCAGCTCAGGAACCACAAAGAAAATAAAAACAGCTATAGATTAAAGTTACTAATATACATAGTCCATACAGAATACTCACACCAAGCTTTAATAAATCTTTTTTCCCATGATTCTCTCAAGAACTTTTTAAGTGAGGTTAGAGCTACTTAGAATTGATCTTTGAACACTAAGCCCCTATCTCTTTCCTTAGACTAACATGGAAAGGTCACTGATTTAGGATAAGCCTACCTTGTCAGTTTCAATCTCACAAACCACTTCATCTTCTGCAACTGTATCTCCAACAGCTGAAAGACAATCAAAGGACACCTCCTCTTAGCCAGGAGCCTCTAGTTCCCTTTTAGCCCAACGTGTTAAAAGACCACTGTCCGCAGGACTGGCGGGAAGTAGGTACGGATGCAAAGGAAAGGTGGACCCACAGCTCCCACTGGCTGTGTTTCAGGTGGAAGTTCTGAATTGAAATGAGAAGAAATGAACTCTTACCTTTCTCCCACCTCACATCTCCCTCTGTAACTGATTCTGCAAACGCTGGGGTTTGGACTGTAATCACATCATTCTCTAGGAGATAAACAAAAAAGGAAAATCACAAGTGCTCCATTTTGTCTCCCACCACCTTTTTTTTTTTTTTTTTTTTCCCCGAGACAGGGTTTACTCTGTGTAGCCCTGGCTGTCCTGGATCTCGCTCTGTAGACCAGGCTGGCCTCGAACTCACAGAGATCGGCCTGGCTCTGCCTCCGGAGTGCTGGGAGTAAAGGCATGCGCCACCGCCCGGCTTGTGTCTTTTTCCTTTTTAATGATTTTCTTTAATAAACTTCGTCAGTTATTGCTCTTCCAGTAAAAGTCCATTCATGAGGAATCAGGTACTTACTGCACACAGCCGTGGTTTGGAAGAAGCGAACACTGAAGACATTACTGTTGTTAATGCTAAAACAAAACAAAACAAAAAAAAAACCCACAAATGTTAACTCATTTAGAATGTGAACTACTAATATCTTGTCTAGTTCAGGTACCACAGATCACCTCTTTAAACTGGTGAATCTTGACCAGATTCTCATGCAGGGGAAGTTGTCAAAGCATGCATGTCAGGCAAAGCTTGGAGAGATTCTGACTCAGCCTGATGACCCTAGGTGCCATAAAGAGTGCCCTGTACTGTAATGAAATGTCACTTCTCTAAAGAGCGAGACATACAGTTCTATTAAGTAAAAAAAAAAAAAAGAAAGAAAGAAAGAAAACTTGGTCCTTTACAAACTAACCAAATAATTTACCTTCTTGATTAGATTTAACAAAATCTAAGATACATGGCATTTCCTCAACAGTACATGCTGATATGCCAAATCCAAAGGTGTTTCTATCCTTAGAGTTTCAGATGTAGATCAGATAAGGTAGAAGGATGATAGTAAACTCAGAAACAAGCAAAGTTTTAGGCAACCACCAACTCCCCACAAAAAATAACCCCAAAAAGGGAGGGAGGGAGGGAGGGAGGGAGGGAATACACAGCATTTCCTTTAGCACTCTTTTGCTAAGAGGCCACACATCTGCGAATCCTGGACTCACTGCCAAGAACTTCCAGAGCAAGCCTTTTTAAACCTGGGGTAGTATAAGATGGAAAGTGCTATCACTTTGTGTACACACTCATTAACAGATATTTCTGAAGAGCGAAAGATATATAGATACACATGGTTACGAAGGCTACCTGTCAGCCAACAGTTATTTCTATAGTTTGAAAGAATTAATTAAACTGATGAAAACTTTTGCTTTTTACACAAGGATTCAGGGGACATTCTCAACAGGTGCTTTTGTTTGTTTGTTTTTGTTTTTTTGAAGACAGGGTCTCACTATGTAGCCCTGGCTGTCCTGGAACTCACTGTCGACCAGGCTGGCCTCAAACTCACAGAGATCTGCCTGCCTATGTCTCCGGAGTGCTGGGATTAAAGGTGTACACCAACTACACCTCAATAGGTATCTTTACAATACATAAGTAAAATACTTAATTGCCTTTTAGCATTTTCAATTTATTTAACTTTATTTTATGTGCATTGGTGTGAAGATGTCAGATCTTCAGGGAACTGAAGTTAACAGACAGTTGTGAGCTGCCATGTGGGTGCTGGGAATTGAACCCGGGTCCTCTGGAAGAGCAGCCAGTGATCTTAACTGCTGAGCCATCTCTCCAGCCCCTGGCCTTTTTACTTTTATGCCAGGATAACTTTATGAGGTACATATATAGTATCAAGGGAAACAATACAAAAAAAAATGTAAAGTACAGAACACAGAGTGCTGTTTGTACACATACCTAACCATGTAACAAACGCACTTGTTCATGGGCAAAGACTAACGGCTAACATGGATATGCAGGAACTACTGCTCTGGCAGACACCTAGGAAGTTGGTTCACTGGCTACCTCTTGGAAGAGGTGTTCAATATGCTAGAGGACAAGGATAAAAAATAACTTGCCGGGCTGCGGTGGCACACACCATTAATCCCAGCCGTAGGGAGGCAGAGCCAGGCAGATCTCTGTGAGTTGGAGAGTAGCCTGGTCTACAGAGTGAGATCCAGGACAGGCACCAAAACTACACAGAGAAATCCCGTCTCAAAAAAAAACAAAAAAAGAAAAGAAAAACCAAAATACTTGATAGCATTTTTTTTTTTTTGCCCTTTGAAACATGTAATTGCCTATTAAATAAAAATAAAAGTAAAAAAGTTGTACATCACATGATCTTTCAGTCAGGTGAGATTGCTCAGGGGAGAAGATTCTGTCAAGCCTGATGACCTGAGTTTGGTCCCCCTGGGACCTACACAGTAGAAAGAGAGACCTGACCTCAGGTGTTCTCGACCTTCACATTTGTGCCACGGTGTGCTCCCTCCACCCCACCAGCCATCTAAGTATAAGAAGATTTCTAAAAAAGATCTTTAGCCAGGCGGTGGTGGGGCACTCCTTTAATCCCAGCACTCGGGAGACAGAGGCAGGCGGATCTCTGTGAGTTCGAGGCCAGCCTGGTCTACAGAGTGAGTTCCAGGAAAGGTGCAAAGCTACCCAGAGAAACCCTGTCTCGAAAAAAAAAAAAAAAAAATCTTTAAAACAAAAAAGATATGCATAGAAAAAAGACAAAAAAAGCAACACAAAGGTATTACTAGGGTGACATAATTAAGGGTGACTCAACCGGAAGTTTAGATTTTTTTCACAATCAACATTCAAATAATTATGTGTTGTATTTATTACATAAATCATGATTACTCCTGATTACTCTAATTTTCACTTAAATTGCTCAAGTAATATGTTTTGACTCTCTCAGTCACTTTTTTACATTATGAAAGCATTACATGCTCACTTCAGAGTACTAGAAACAATAAAAAGAACTCTACAATGGAATTACACAACCCACCAGAAAATGGAATATTCTGTCTCTTTTATTTCCTACTTATCATAGTGGGAGCATGTTAAAATACTACAGCATAATCCCTGGCTATTTCTTATTTTTGAGAGGGATCTGAGTATGTAAATATTTCAAGTATAGATTCCTAGAAATGCAATTTCACAGCCAGGCATGGTGGCAAATTCCTTTATTCCCAGCACTCAGAGAATCTGAGTTTGAGGCCAGCCTGGTCTACAGAGAAACTCTGTCTCAAACAAACAAACAAACTAACTAACTAACTAACAACAAAAGTTTCAGGAGTTTTATACTTCTAATAGCACGTTAATGAACCATTTTTGGAATGAAAGCCCAACTTATTGTGATGCATAGTAAGAAAGTTCTCCTGCCAACTCTTCATTCACCCTTAAACAAGGCAGCTCCACAGTTCTTGAATAGGTTACTAGAAAGCAATCTCTTAGTACCCTAAAAAAAAAACTTGGAATACAGAATAATTCAAAACAACACTCACAAGTCCAATTTAATCTGGACCATAAGTGGATGGCCCTCCTCCAAACTCTCCATGACGCAATAATAACATTCCTACCAAACCAGTCAAAAGTCCTAGGGCTCAACTGGTCTTTTTCATTTACTGATTTTTAAAATGAGTAACTATGCAACCAAGAGAATGCTCTCAATTTCTACAACTATGTGACCTCCGACCCCTCAGTCTCACTTGTATCCAACTAGAATATTCCGTTCTCTCTGATAGCCACTCTCATCAAAACAAAAAAAGAAGACAGTTCCAAGTTAACTACCCAAGAAGGTCCAGGACACTCTGGGTCCAACACCTGACCACTGAATGATGACAAAGGTAGATTATAATAAAAATGACCGTGACTATCATCAAGGTTGGGTCTAGGGATTCAACATAATGACCTCAATTATAGGTCTGGAGGTCTGTGAAGACATCCAGTGTTTAAATTTAGAATCCGTGTCTAAGTAAATCAACCATGGCACATATCTATACTACCCAGTGGTACTTACACCATCCTCCTGCTGTAAGGGTGACCTGGTCCCTGACATAAGGAGACCCCTGTAAGAAACAAAACAACTCTTAATCAACAGCTCTTACTGTGCACAGTATATTAAATGGAACTATTCATCCCATAGACCCTAGACAGAGTGGACCAACTTCAGGAGATTACATAATCTTTATCATATGGAATCATGCTTCTCAAACAGTCTGCCTGCCTTATTGGCAGAGAATAGGTACGGGAGATTAAGAGTGTGTATGTATCTTGAGAGGAAAGAGATCTGACGGGACAGCCCTATAAGTTGTATAATCTACCTGCCTTTATGTTTGCATAATGTCTCTTTTCCCAGAGTTATCAAATACAATTGAAACTTGAAAAATAAGACACACAATGGTGGAGCTGGAGAGGTGGCTCACTGGTTTAGAGCTCTGGCTGAGAACCAGGGTTCAATTCCCAGCACCCACATGACAGCTCACAACTGTCTGTAACTCCAGTTCCAGGGCATCTGACTCCTTCACACCAATGCACAACAAATAAAGTTTAAAAAAAAAAAAAAAAAGACACACGATGGCTTGCCCTGTGACTTCACAGGACCTAACATGAGGTGGGAGCTGGTCTGGGCTTTAGTGATTAGGCTAGAACGTTTGCTGACTGAGCCTAGCAGCAAAGACTAGAATGCTTTAGGCCTAGGGTCTTCAGTTTGTCTATGACTGAGCAAATCATTTCTCTCTTCATCAATCCTCCTCCCCCCTAAGTCTTCCATCCTGGTCCCTCTAACAAAAGATGGGTCTTGAGTTCTAATTCAAAAAGGACAACTTCTCCTTTCTTTTCTGGACAGTGGCCGAGGACCCACGCAGGCTTTCCTTGACGTTCTGGGTTCCCACTGTCTCTGTGAAGACTCCCTGCCCACAACTTCCACTGCTGACCGTCTGCTTTCCTGGACCCTAATTCAAAAGGCCTGCCTATCTCCTCATGCAGCAGCCCGAGCCGCAGCCTACCAAAGCTGCTGCTGTCTCTCAAATTCTAACACAGTGATCCTTGAGTTAGAGAGAAGGAGAGAGGGAGAGAGGGAGAGAGGGAGAGAGGGAGGGAGAGAGAGAGAGAGAGAGAGAGAGAGAGAGAGAGAGAGAGAGGAGTCTCTATCCACCAAACCAACTGTCCTTATCATAAATTCATTCCCCCAGTATCTACCAACCACAGCCGCTTCTTCTGACTATTACTTCTCATGTTTTCTTTGTTGTTATTTGTGTCGATTAACAACCCTTTCTACACCATGGGTGCAGAAGATACTGACTGAGAGACAGCTGGTCCTTATGCACACTCCCGCCCAAACGTTCCCCGAGTCAGGTCAGTCAGTCATCTTTATATTCAGCAGCCAATGCCTGCCCTGCACACTCTAAGCAGAGCCTGTCTTGGAACTGGAACACAGCAGCCCACACAGATGTTCGGAAACGGGGGTCCAACACAAAGTTTACCCCATAACAAGTTTCATTTGTGCAGTGCATTAGGCTTATAAAGAAATTCACACAATGGCCTCTTCATTTGCCACTCACAGCAACACCCTAAAGTGGAATGGCACCTGCCATTATGTTTATTTTATATACAGCTAGGTTGGTGACTAGCCTAACCAGAATGCCTGGGTCAAGATGCAAACCCGAGTGCAAGGCTTTTCCTTTTCCGGACAGCTTAAAGTGGAGAAAATACTTGTGCTGTCTTTCAGCATTCCCAGCGCAAGGAAAGGTTATTACTGAGAATGCACTATGGACTGTGCTGATGCTTATGTCCTCCTGACACGGGCGTAAAGTCCAGCCCTACAGTCCTCCTGCCCCCACTCTCTATTTCCAGCTTACCATTTCTATACCTGGTCAAATCCCTTCCTGCCTGGAGACCACAAGTCATTTCCTACCTGGACGGTCATCTCCCTAGCTAACTCATGCATTCTTTAAGTCCCATCTAAAATGTCACTTCTCTGGGGAGGCCTTCGCCAACCTTCCCCTCTTCTGACTTCCCAAGCTGGGCTTTCACATCCTGTAAAATAACCACACTGTTATTTTGTCCTAACGTGTACATAACCGTGTATTTGCTCCGTCTGTCGGGCTAGCCCGGGAGATTCTTGCAGACAGAGGCCATCTGTACCCCCACCTAGCAAAGCAGCTGCCACAGGAAGCACGCTAGCCTGTTGACAAGGCAGGGGCATGGCTCAGTCTGGTAAGGGTTTGGTTTGGTTTGGTTTTGCCCAGCATGCATTAAGCCTTGGGTCTGATCCCCAGCACTGCATAAAATCAGGCATGGTGGAGCAGTCCTGTGATCCTAGCACTTGGGAGGTTAAAGGTCATCCTTGAACGACTTATCTAGTTTAGTTGAGGTTGGGCTACATCAGATTCTGTCATTCAGACCGACAGACATTGTCTGTTACAGAGTACCCAAGTAAATAAGAACACTTATTCATTCAGTAAAGCAGTTTGGGCTGGGGGGGGTGGGGGTGGCGGCTGATTTAACCAATAGTTTTGGCTGAGTGACCTTGGCCTAGAAATCTAACCCCTCGTCTTGGAATATGCTTTTTTAAAATACAGATACCAAATCTCGTTTGGTTATTGACCCAAAGTTGCACAGAAAGCATTCAGAACAATGCTTGGCACAAGAAAGCCTACAGTAAGATGGAATCTTTCAACAAGTATTTTGTCAGACCCAGATGTGGTAGCATAAGACTGTAATCCCAGCTCTCAGAGCCAGAGGCCAAGAGGAAGTTCAAGGCCAGCCTGGTATACATAGTGAGCTCTAAGCCAGCTAGTGCTTAGACAGTAAGACCTTGTCTCAAAAAATAAAAATTAAAAAAGAGGAAATAAATGTTTGCCAGGCATATGATTAAATGTAAGCTCCATAAGATTGATTGTTTTAATAACTTTCTCTCTCCCTCTACCAAAAACAACAAACCAACCACAACAAAACCCCACACACAACTGTTGAGAATGAAAATCAAAACTTCTGGGGCTAGAGAGATGGCTTAGAGGTTATAACCTGTACTGCCTTTGCAGAGAACCCAGGTTCGGTTCCCAGTACCCACATCAGGCATTTCACAACCACCTGTAACTCCAATTACAGGGGATCAGACACCTCTTGGGGTCTCCGTGGGCACATAAGGACAAGCATGCACAAACACACACAAAGAATAAACACACACAAAAATAAATGGGGGGGGTCTAAACTTCCAACAGCCTCTATACTGTTATTTATTCACCTTAGGATACTGTTTCCTTCGACTAAAGTCTTCGGGCAAGACACTTTGTTTCCAATTTCAAAAGAACACCACACCTGTTTCCCTCTTCACTGACTTCATGAATGCTATCCTTTCTCTCTCCTGCTTGTCACTTCCATAGCTCTGTCACATCCAAGTCACAGCTTTAATGTCACCCATCTAATGAAATCTGTTCTGTCCACTCTCCTGTTTCCAAGCACTTACACAATCCGATCACTTGGTTAGCGATTTACACTTTGCTTTTCTAACGTCAGCCTTAAGCTCCAGGAGGACAAGACTTTTTAATCGCTGTATCTCTAATGAGTACCCAGCTCAGTGCCTGGCAGTGTAAATTCAATAACCAAGGGCCGGTGGTGTAGCTCAGTGGTAAAGTCCTCGTCTCCCGTGCCCTAGGTTCCATCCCCAGCGCCACAAAAAGCAGAACAAAACCTAGTAATTATGTACCGAGTGAAGAGATGACAGCCGCTACACTTAAGGAGCATTTTTGCTTCGCATCTATCTGAATTCACTGTCTTTAAATAGCATGAGAAGAAACATCACATTTCCTGACATGCTGCTCTGCCCACGAGAAGAGCATTTTAGGTGACCACAAGGGCAGAACTTACCAGGCAGGGAACGTCTCCCTAGAGGGCAGTTCCCCTGTTGAGAAAGAAGACATTATCGACGTCACCCAAAATGAAAAAGAGGGAAAGACATATATTTCTTTTTTTCTCTCTCTCAAGTGCACGTTGAACGTGCTGCTGACAGGTGAACCTCGTAACTCCGAAGGGCAAATGCAAACCACCGCGTCGGCCAAACTGTGTCACCCTCCCCGCGCGACCGACACGCGCTGGTTTGGGGGAGAACGAGGCAGACGGGCCGCGGAATCCGGTTGGGGGCCGTGCCTCCCCCTCCGACCGAGTCCCTGTCGCGGCGGGCGCGGCTCCCAGCCCCGGAGCAGAGGG